AAGAGGACAGAGCAGTCTCCATGTTGAGATGCTTTCTAATCTGCTTAGATTGAGCTAATGCTAGGCAGATTTGGCTGAGGGTAAACCAGCAGTGAGAGTCAAATAAGAGCGTGGATACACCAACATTGCATCAACCATCCTAACAGGATTTCCCCACGGATGAAAATACAACTTAACTCAGAGGATTGAGTGTAAGAATTTTGAGGAGAGGCTGAAGTTGAACAATTTTTTTTTTGCTGAAAACTGAAATAAACCATGTTTCATTATTATTATTTTCCTGTTTTAAACTTACTGGGAAAAAATAATGTTACATAAATGAAATGTGAAAAATAAGGCCGTTGTTGCAGCACACCTGAACAAATGCATACACTATAAAGTCAATATAAACATCAAAAGGAAATCTATTTGAAAATATGATTGGAGATTTTGCAATCCCTTATCACATATATGCATTGTTTCTCAAAGACTGGGTCGCGGTGGGTTTTTTTTGGGGTGGGGGGGTCATCTAGCATCATGTTTCCCAGGAGTTTACGAATAATGTCTATTGACTTGGGTTGCCAAGGTTTGTGGTTTTTAAAATATGGGTAAATTCTATTGACTTGGGTTGCCAAGGTTTGTAGTTTTTAAAATATGGGTAAAAAAAGTTTGGGAAACACTGCTCTAGAATGTATTTGGACTTCCATAGTCCTGTAAACACGAGGGAAACATGACTGAAGTTGAATAGTGTTGTAATCTCTGCTCAGACAACAGTTCCTCTCTAATAAAACTGACTCTGTTTCCATGACCATGACATTATGTAAAGCATCATCGGTGTGTCTGTGATATATCTGATGTAATTTCTTCTGTTTCTTTCTTATAAGCTCAAATCCTCACTCTTCCTCACCCCTGTACGTACACAATTTTAAGGCCCCAAAAATATTGATCAACCTGCAAAGAAAACGGACCAAATATCATTCGAAATCACCCTGTGTATCCTTGGTGACTACAGAGGTTTATTGCCTTAAGAAAAGGAGTTTTTCTTCATCCAATTTACTGCAACAGTTCTGCTATTTTGGGTTATAATCTAGTTTCCTCCTAATCTAGTTTCCTGCTAATGGGTCCCATGTCTGATACTTTCAGTTGCTCAACTTACCATGAGCTCACACTGAGCTGTCTCGAGAAAAGGAGGGTGCCCGTAATGTCTACACTAACGGGCAGCTCACTGTAATATTCCCGAATAATATTTAATGACAAGCCACAGCTACCACGGGTACTGTAGGACGTCGCAGATAAAAGGACAAACACAGGTGTGGATGTCCGACTGCAGCAGCAGAGGTTACGCCAACACGACCGTCAGCACATTAAGACCCTAAAGCAGCGATACATCTCCTGCTCCACGCACAGCGGCTGTACCCCGCTGCTCCTGCACGGATCCCCCTGATCCCCCCGTGCTTTAACAAGGCGTAATAAAGCCCTTATGAAGCACTGCATTGTGTGGGGAGAGCACAATGTTGCATGCTGAGTGCTGTGAGAAGGGCGTAAACCCGTGGGTCCCACGGCGCAGCAGCACACCAGAGCCTATAGCGGGGAGTGCTGAGCATGCTAATGAGGTCATTATGTTATGCCTCTCCCCTGGCTGCTGCTCTCCTTTACAGTACGGGCTGTGCCTGTCAGCAGAGGCAGGGTGCCCTGGTAATGCAGCCAGCCACAGATGTCACATATGGCACAATGAGAAGACACATGCGCGTCTCCAAATTGAATGCTGACAGAAAGACGATGTGACGCTTCCATTTTTTTTTTTCAGCTAGCATCAAAAGCCTGCAAACACCCTTGGTGATTTGCATATAGAATAAGGTGAGCTTAAATAGAAAGAGAGAGAGAGAGAGAGAGAGAGAGAGAGAGAGAGAGAGAAAAGGAGGCCAACAACGGGCAACATTCATTTGGTAATTGTTCCCGCTGTGTGTTCAATCAGCAACCTCGCAGCGTTCGCGTTTCCTTTAATCCCCCTCCGTTTACACTTGCGCTATTATTTACAGCCAGGGAGGAGGGGTGAAGTATCAAGCACATGCAAATGCAATTACAAGATATTTGCATAGCCGTTAACAATTAGAGGGCAGATGGTAAACAGCGGGCATTAGAAAGCCACCGAAACGCCATCTTGGCCGAGAGAGAGACAGCTGGCAGACAGGATTCGGCCATTTTGTAAGCTCACTCGCTGCCAGGCTTTATGCACCACAGACGCGCCAGTCTCTCTCTCTCTGTGCCCGGAGATTGGCGGGCAAACGGGGTTATCATGGTTTAATATAGAGCAGGCACAATGACCCACCCCGACGCCCAGTGGTCACAGTGTGGTCACAGCTCCTGTTGATGCAGAATGTGTTTGCTTTATAACACACACACACACACTCACACACACACAGACTGTAGTTTGTATTTTATGATATTTTCCCACAGACTCCTCTAACCTAACACTAACCGTGACAAATATATGCTTAATCCTAATCCCTACCCAGACTCTAATCTGGACCTCATTCTGATGCTAACTCCCTTATCTACTCTTGAACCTCAAATCCACACAAATTAGTGGGGACAAAGTCTATCCAACTATATATATATTTTTTTTCACACGTGAGATGGGATGTTTGTTTTTTTTTGCATTATTTGCTCAAGTGTGGAAATGTTTGTTTTTTAATAATAATGAATATGTGACGTTTTACTCACCAAAAGGTATGAGCCATCGTTATGTATGACGTGAGGGAAACCACAGCTCTGTCCTGCGAGATCCTGCAGACTCCACGCTCATTTGGTGTTTCAGGATTTCTCCGCTGAAATTTCATCTGCATTAAACCCCCCTGGTCCTCCACTCAGACATGTAGGTTGGTTGGTTTTGTCACATTTCTTTAAATCATCTGAAGGTCTGAGCAGTGGGAGAAGGAGACCCTGACCAGGTGCAACCACTGTCCTTTTTTTTTTTTTTTTTTTACTCCTCATTCAATTAACGGCCATTCACTTGGACTGCAGCAGGACCCCCGCTGCATGGCAGTAAGTGGACTTCAGGTGCAGTTTCTACACACACTGACACACACGCATGCACGCAGAGGGGGGTTTTAAAGCCCCGACCTGCCTCCTTCTCTTCCACCTCGGAGATCAATACTGCACTGCCATATCCTCCGATGGGAGCTGCTGTAGGGAAGGTGAGAAAATCTAAGGTAAGTAGACAGGTCCAGTCTTTTACAGTGGAGTGGAGATAAAGTCAAACTTTCTCCTTTTCATCGCGGCTCACGAGACCTTTTGAATATTGAGGGGCTCTGTGCTTGAAGGTGGGACTAAACACAAATGTCTCGTTATTGCCTCAGATGGATTCCCATTCAAACAGTAAGGGTGGAATACATAATCAGAGGGAGGGAGCCGGAAAGAAAGGAGCTCATCGATGTGCTGTCGACGTGTGTATTCTTCCTCCATTTTTCATCTTCTCCATCGCTGCCTCGGCGTCTCCCTGACAAAGTTTTATCAAGTAGTGCAGGACGATGCGAGACCCCTCTGGCTGAACCACACACAAAGACTCTGCCTCACTCTTCCTGCCTTCCTCTTCCTCCCTGGCACGCACATTGTGTGTGTGGTTGTGAGGTTGGGGCCCCGGCCCTGGCTGATGCTCACACTGCTGGAGAGAGATGTGGAGAAGAGCTGGGAGCAGCGGTGGTGGTTGGTCCCTGGGCTCCAAGGCCTGCAGGCGGTGCTGGCCAACCTCTGCTAGCCTCTCTCCCCTGTATTGATTTCTGCTGCTTCGCGCTGCTCCACTCATCTGTGGAGGCTCCTAGCCGGCGGCGTAAGAGCTCGGTTCACCCGCCTCACCTGCCTTTCTCCTGGCTCGGATGGCCCGGCGTGCCCACTCTGCAGCAGCGTTGGCTGGCCCCTGACGTCTCCCCAGGACCGCTGTGTGCACCAGTCGGTCCGCACGAGGAAGGCAGCCAGAGAGCCTATGGCGATCCACATCTGTGTTCACCTGCTCCGGGTTCACCCGCTTCCAACCACCTCCTTGAATAGCTGATATCCTTCTTCTTTTCCATCCTTCCACCCACTTTCCTCCTCGTTTTTCTTCCTCCTCCTCATTTTCTTTCAGCTGTACGCAAACAACCAGACACAGAGATAGAAAAACAGTAAGTAACTTTATTAACAATCACATATTCATCCAATCTCAGTGTCAGTCCTTCTCTTTGATTGGTGCAAATTCAAGGGTTAGAATTCTGGCATTTTCCCACAGTAAATAAACCTTCTAACCTTCCAGAGCAGCAGCTGCGGAGGCCTGAGAGTCAGAGTGTCATGTGAAGGTACTGTACTCTTAGATAGCTGTTAGACTGTGATGCCCTGCAGAACATAAAGAGCGAGGGTTTTTAAAAACCAACAATGTCAACGACAAAAAAAAAAAAAAAACCATTAGAAACCATTTAGAATTCTCCATGGGCAGTTTAAGCAAACAAAAAAGAAATTGCCCTAAACGGTCATGAACAGGGAAAACAACACTAACAGAACACTTCCACCCCTTTCTGCACCACATTCACTGTGAAGGAATGAAAATGTTTTGGCAAGACCCGCGGAGCTCTATAGAAACTTTGACAAACAAAACATCTCAGCTCTGTATTATCTAGAATTATTCCGATGGGCTCTGCAGCCCTCTTCTTATGATAATAGCAGTTGGCCATTGTGTTCTTCAACAGAGAGAGGACCAAGGCCAAATTCAACCCCCACCAGATCGCACCGCGGTGCACTAACCACACGATCTCCCGAAAAAATTCTCACCACAGCAACACAGAGCTCTGACGAACCCTGTGTACGCCGACTCCCACCCCGCCGCAGAGACTCGAACCCATGGGCTGACTGCCAGCGGAATAAAGAAGTAAAGTGTAGTGGTTTAGAGCTGGTGGGCCGGCAAGTCTTTGGAAGTTAGAGCTGTCTGTTAAATCAAGAGTGAAGCGATGAGAGTGGGGCTGGAGGGGGGCAGGGGGGTTTCACTGTAGGGACAAGAGAAGCAAGTTTGAGTGAGGAGGGGCAAGTTAAGTTAGGGGGGGACATGGATGGGGACTGGGGTTGTGGTGCATGTCTCAGACACAATAATACTATTCATTGGGCTCAGACATGGGTGTTAACTCCCCTCTGACAGAGCACAATGGGACTCGGTGGCATTCAGGCAGCCTTGGTAATATTGTTAGTTAAGGGCTGTATTCTCCCTGCTGCAGGAGAGAACGCCGGCATTGTACCCATCCAGCAGGATGGATGGAGGGAGGTTTAAGGAGGTGAAAGGCAAAGAAAGAGAGAACAGTAGGTTTGTCTATCTGTCACTGTGGAAGGAGAGCAGGTAGAGGGAGCAGGGGTAGGGTGGAGACAGTGAGGAGGGACGGCGGGGCTCAGCAGCTTTGGGGTCACTTTTGCCCAACGCTGCTGGACTTGTTCGTTTTAGAGAGAAGTCGACAGAGCATGAGAAACAAAAACACATCAATTACATTACAACTCCAACAGCCCGGCAGACGTTAACGGAGGCCTCTAAAAGCTGGGATAGTGGAAAATGAAATGTGGAGTTCGGACTCAGGTGATGTACTATTGAAGAACCACATAACATATTTAATGGAAGAGCAGCAAACAGTCAGTCTGGGCTCCCAGACAAACTCTGAAGTTTTACAATTTTTCTGCAAGCCCTGGGAACTGTAACACTTGTAACCCCAGTAAGAAGTAATGTTAAAGTTATATCTATTTTACTGTGGACCTTCCTTTTTGTTCCATTACAACTTTACAATAATACACAATATATATGTATGTATGGTAAGATGGTAGAAATGTAGGATGAAATGAACATTAATTCTGTGGACATGTCAGTAGTTCACTCTTCTGTGGAAATGTATTTATATCTTCCTTCATATATATGTACATATATATTCATATATATGTACATATATGTGTATACATATATTATATATTGCATTGTATACAAGGTATATAACTACATACATATATATGCTGTATATATATTTATATATATATATTTATATATATATATGTTTATGACAGGTATAAATCAGAATACATGAGCAGTGATAGTTGTTTTAAATATATGGCTCCAGCCCCTTACTCACACCGCTCACTGATTTGAACACGTACACAGTACTGCTACTCCTGTATCACTGTTCTCATGAACAGTACTTTGTTTGTTTCCCCCTCTGGTAAACCCTAACCATCTGTTTCCATAGTAACCTTACCTACAATGTCCCTGTGTGGGGATGGATGTTTGGAAGCCGAGACAGGAGAGTGTGTGAGGTGTAATGTCTTTGAGGTGGAGTCGGTTCAGAGACGGAAGTCGTGAGGATGTTATTGGCACGGACGGGGGCGCACACGGCACTGAGTCAGGGGAGGAAACATGAGTCGCATATGTTATCATGCTAATATAGAAAAAAAAAAAAAAATTTATATATAATATATAAAATTTTAAACTGTCAAGACAGCTAACTTTACATAAGGAAACAAAACCACCACTACTCAATTCAAGAAGAATTAGGGTCAAATGATTAGTTTTCCGACAGTAATATGCAGTAATACAGTATTATGTATTAGGTTTTGAGTTCCCCTCAGTGTTACAGCCCCTTCTCAGAGAGTGGTTTTCACTCACCTTCTTTTGGACTTTTTGGTTTGTAGATTTCTTTCTGTGCAGAGCTTTATTCAGTGTAATTACTAGTCTCCCCTTTTTTCTACGTTTAGGTTGGATTAGGTTATTTACTGGTGTCCTGTGTACCTGTGTCACGGTCATTAGCCCTAGCACAACTTTTCTTTCAGAGAGGCTTTAATTCATTTGGTTTTCAACCTCTGCCAGATTTGTTCTAATCTGTGTGAATCTCTAAATGTGTGGTTTTTTTAAAAGTTTAAACTAATTTGGTAAATTCATTTGTTGGAGCCATAAAAAGAAGTTGATTAATGTCTTTAAAGTGTCGACTTCTTTAAAATAGAGGAATAGAAATAGAAATCTTACAGGGAAGCTGAGAGTTTTGTGCTGAACTGTAATTTAAAAATCAAACACCAGCTGAAATAAGCATTACAATGTATAAATTAGAGAATGTATCTACTTCAAAAATTGACTTAAAAAATCCCTATACATGCAGTCCTATTTCAAATGATCTTCATTCGCTGGCAGCAGTTAGGCTGACCTCCTGAGATAAGAAAAAGGCCAGCAGGGTGATGCTGGGTTGTCAGGCTGTTGGGGGCAGGCCAGGGCATGGCTCTTGTCATGGAGCTAATGCTGTTCAGGGGTGGCTGAGGTAGTGAGGGTACTGCCCTTTGTTACTGGTTGGGGATTACACTGGTCAGCCAGCACAGACAATATAACCCCTCCTGAGTTGGGAGGACCAACATGCTCTCTACCAATGATAAGGGCAGTCAACTGATCACAAACTTAATTAAGGACAGAGGAAAGTAAAGGCGGCGCACAAGAGGGTGATGCAGCGAGAGGTGCTAAGAACTGATGAAGAAATAAAGAAGAAGCAAAAAGAAAGAAAAGATCTGTGAAAGTCGCAGAGGGTACGCCTAAATAAGAGGAGGCGTAGAGTTCTAAAGAGGGCGCCAGACGAAGCAGAGGAGGGGTGAGGAGAATTCTTCTCCAGCGCAGGATTAGGAGAGAGAAGATGAAAAGATCAGGTCTGACAGAAAACCGGAAAAAAAAAATTCCAGGAGAGTTGTCCAGAGACCTTGGACTTAAACTACTACGAAAAGAATTGAAGTAAAAAAGTCAAAGAGAAGGAGGAAGCACAGGTGTACCACACAACAACTCACGTTGTTGCACCTTACTTACGCCGAAGCACAAATCGTTTCAAATAATCCAATGAGGAACGGCAGCAGTGATTCAATTACCGAGGACCTGGACGGAGGGTATTTGGAGGAGAGTTAGCGGTTAGCTAGCATAGCTTAGTCTCACCACAGGCAGATATGGTTGTGGAACACTTGACAAGAGGGATGTGGCAGCTCTGTTGACTGAACCTGTCAAACCCCATTGTCGGAGCGTGCATGTTTATATCAACACTATACGTGGTTTTTATTTTGCTGGGGGGGACGGGGGGGGCAGGAAGGCCAGGGTTGGGGGAACAGTTCAGTGGAACAGGTGTGTTGGTCTGCCCCCTCCCTCTGTATGCTGTTATACACTGTCCACACATTGCTATCTGCCTAGATTTCTTACCAAAAAAAAAAACAGGTTGACAATAAAGAGATAGAGATGCTCTGTCCACATTTCTCACTTTCCCTCCCTCAATCCTGACCCCCCCTCCCCCCCACACACCCCTTTCTTCATTTCTTCCATCCCCTATGGTAGATCTGCCAGACAGAAGTGCTCAGCAGCTCTCCGAACATTATTGATCCTGAGAGCAAGCTGGCCCTGGAGTTGGTGTCTCACCCTCCCTCTCCCCATCTATCTATCTAGCTATCTCTCTCTCCACCCTCCACTATCCCTCATTCTCTAACACAGCCTACAACTTTTTTTTTTCTCCTGCGCCCGTGCTCTCTGCTCCATCCTTCCCTGCATCTGCTTCATTTGTCAAGGTTAAAGAACTCTTATAAAAAAAAGAAAAAAAAAAGAAAAAGGGAAGAGAGGGTCAGCGGAATGTTGTCCGACTTCATGAAAGAAATTCCCCCTGGGCCACAGCGCTAGAGAGGGATGCTCGCCGTGAGACCCAACTCTGCTCACACAATCATGGATCTGCGAGTGTGTCCCACTCAGCCAATCAGATACCGAAAGTAGCAGGACTGCTTTGGTCGGCAGCAACAGGGCCATCAGGAATGGATTCAAAGAAGTGGCAAGTCATTGAGGACTATATTAGGGCTGAGCAGGAACTTCACCAACTCCTTAATGAGTATTTGATCCCATAATGAGAACAGTCTTTCCCAGGTAATGAACTGGTCATTCACTAGGATGAAGAGATGACTAATATTTACCAGTAGCAGTCTAGCAGTGAACATAACATGTTTGAAATCAAGTCAAAAAGAAAGATTGAAAAAAAGAATTCCCCATCTTTGGTCCAATCAGAACATCCCTTCTATAGAGAATGAGGATGTTTCTTTGACACAAAGACTGGCATTGGGTTTACTGTTAAA